GAAATGTGCAGCTTTCAAGAGCCATTCAGCTCTGGCTTCATTTTTAAGGTTGTCAAAATCAATGAGCTAGTTTTTGTACTTGCACTCAAAGACATAATTTAAAACCGACCATGTTTACATGTTCCACTGACATTTCCCAGTCAAACAAAGGAAGCCCTTTTTTAGATGGAGGCTGACTGAAAACAGATTGACTAATTATAGGCAAACTAAGCATGGGAGCTTTCAGGCAAAACAGCTTGTTCATGGATATGGTGACCAGTAAAGAGGTGACAACACAAACTCTCAAAGCTTGTTTTGGCACACTAAATACAAATGACACCTTTAATGAAAAAATCTTGAGGGTCTTATTTCTTGCAGCAGTCAGTGTGCAAATTATATAGTGACTTACAAGGGGTCATTTTTTAGTAAACTCAGATGTTGCCTACCACAATAAGCCACACTTTTTTTACTCAGTTTTGATGATCCCTTCAGTATAATTGACATGGATTTAGTCAATGTGTAGGAATTAAGTAGCAGATGACCTCAAAGCTAACACACATGGACTAAGACCCACATATATGATTTCATACAGTTGTTGTGATAATATTGACATGTTAATCAATAATAATGTGGAAAAACAATTACAGTACCTATTTATTTTAATTATACATTATCTAATACCCATCTGAGCAGACAAAGCTTGAGCAGTGTCCCAATTTTTGGTTCCCAGAATGTTCTGAGTACATTAGTTCATGGTTGCTAAAAATGACACCTAAGAAGAACCTTCCTATAACGTTACAAATTGGTCGCCCACAAAATAACCAGAGGGGAATCATATGCTAAGATCAGGTAACTTCATAAAACAGGATAGTAACCTCATTTTCTTTGTGATGGCCTGTTTGATACGATGTAAAAAATACACAGATTGGCATTGGAACGTTCATGGTAACTGAAACAATAATGTTGAAATGTTTCTAATATTGACCTATATTTGACAGACTTTAAGATATTCCCTCCTCCATTATGTTTACCTCAGATGCATTCAATATGGGGGTGGCACACCTAAACGCCCAGTTTCTTATTTGCACCCTGACATTGGCATCACATAGGCATAAGCCACATTGAACACTAACACCACATGTATGTGTAGGCCTATAGTATAGAAATGCAGTATAGAATTACATATCTCTATTATGTGTTTAAACGTACCAGGTGTCAATAAAGAAACGTGCAAAAACATGCAAGTACCAACATAAAAATAATCTGTGCATGCCACGCATAAACCGCTTCTGTTTGTGGGCGCGAGAAACAGGTTAAATCCATCCAGAGCAGATCTTTGCCTTCACCCCGTATGGATAAAAAAAAATTGAAACGCCGCAGTTCACTGACGCCATCTTGCTTCGGTCAACTAACATCTTTATGTAATATTCCTTAAAAAAATCTCTCCACCATGAACCAGTCCCACAGCATTTACGCATTTTAACAATCATCCCCAAAATGCAAAACAAATCCCATCATAAACACGTGTAAATATTAGATGCGCAAAGGCGCCGCAGAGAGAATGATTTTCGGATTGCTGTCACAGCATTTATTCGCCCAAAATGGAGCAATGCAATCGTGCAAACCAGCAGTATGGTGTATGTTTCTTTATTTTGTGTATATATTGCAAGTGATGAGGGACTGCGTTCTTTAATACATGCCTCGTTGACAAAGAGCTGTCAGTCACGGTTTACATGATTTCACCAGCCTCATCTGCATGACACGAGTTCATGTCCTCTTATCCATATTTGTTTGTTCAAACATAAAAACTTAACGGGTACAGCAACATAAAGCCGCCATATCAGCATTTTCCACCGTGCAATTCTTTATCAGCAGGTCCAGCGAATGTGAATCTGATGTTTTTTTATGAAGGTGAGCAGATGACTCCCAAATATAAAAACAAGTTAATGCTTTCCTATAAAGATGCCAGAATGATGCACGTCTTTTCTCAATGATATGTATCACTTTCTCAAGCTCGTCTGTTATGTTATGCCTAATACTTATGTAAACCGAGGATCCTGCTGCACCAGTAGCCTCCACCCAACACTTTTTTATTGATTTAAAACAATGATGGCAAAGAAAACCCATTGCATTAGAAAGAACCATGATCCTGCTGGAATACGCCACTGACAATCCCGCAGCGCTCAAAATGTCTGTCTGCACCCGTGTCATGCTCTCGCTTCGCGTTTTACCCCCCTTCGCTCCCAGGCCGTCCTTTAAAGTATGGAGGAGAATCAAGCTCCTTCTCCATTACACAATCACTATTCTTACCTCGATGGCGGGCGACAGAGTCGTCAGCATTAACAGCAGGAATACCGTACGGTCCATACCCATGGCCGTGTTCCCAAATGTAGCACGTCCTGAGCGGATCAGGGGTTTTCTGTGGCGATTTTCAGTTCCGTGCTCTCCTATCGCCAGTGCTGGTTGTGCTTTGTGAGAATGCGCGACTGCACACAGCTGCTTCAGTCAAAGTCAGCTGACCACACGTCTGGAGAGTGTGCAAGAGAAGTGGAGTTGTAGATCGAAGGCGGTCAGTGAGGAAACCGCAGAATTGCACCGATAACGTTACATCAAAACACTGGAATGAATAAACAGCAAGCAAGCAGGGGACAACCGCAAAGCATTGAATCTCTGTTCGATTTAAACTAGAGTATAGCATTATTTTAGTGTAACACCTTTTTATAGCTATAGAATAATTATAATTATAATAATTATTATCC